GACGACAACTCGTCAAAGAGACAAGACGAGACGAGACTTGTCTCTTTGAAGCCTTGTGTGGTACTAAGAATGGCGAGACTCACTGACGATGCCGGCGAACCGTTTGTGAATGTACCACGTCCACGGTCCGACTTTGGAAATGCTCATGCAGACAATGGACTCCGGACTAGGCGCGTTCCTCTAAATCGTCCTAGCAACATGACCAAGTAGCGAAAACAAGGTCAGCTTTCTTTTCATTTTCGAAAAACTCCGCCTCTTATAATTTAGAGATTCCTTGCATAGCTTGATCACTTAGGATAATATCAGACATTTAGTTTTTTTTGTCAAGGGAGCAAATATCCTGAAATAAAACGATGTATAAATAATTTTTTTTCATATTTATGCAATTTAAGTGTTTGCACCTAGTCCGGAGTCAATTGTATGCATCATCATTTCCAGACTAGGACCGTGGACGTGGTACATTCCCAAATGTTTCGCCGGCATCGTCAGTGAGTATCGCCATTCTTAGCACCACACAACAACTCGTCAAAGAGACAAAAGAAGCCGATCCTTTGACCAAACATGTGCTAAACAGTTGTGGTATCTCCCATTTAGCCTTGGTCTATTTACATTTCCTATATCGTCCTATCACACCTTCACTGTCACTATTTTTGCCGTGCTTATTTTTAATGTAGTGTAGTGTGCTCCACCACACTGACAATGCCGAATGTACCACTTCCACGGTCCTACTCTGTAAATGATCATGCAAAAAATGGAATCCGGACAATGTGCCTTCGTCTAAGTCTTCCTACCAACATGACCAAGTTGCGAAAACAAGGTCAAACAACTTCTATACAACGAAAGGAGACTGCCAACACACAAAAGGCCACACCATCTTGGACTTCATACCTCCGAGGTTGAGTTTGTGTGGGATGAGAAGTTGTAAAAATAACTTTCAGGTAGAATTGGCACAGTATCCAACCGATAAAACTGGCATAACTTGCATTTCGTTCGAGAAGTAGAGTGGAAGGGATTCGCAAATTGGCCTTAGCGGATACCAAAGGACTTTTGTCTGTTGAATTGTGCAAAGAGCTCGGCTCACTGTCCTACGACCCCGATGGCTCCGTGCGTCATGTTACCGACATCGTCAGAGCCGGAAACCACTATTCACGAACAATCGCCAAAATACACCGAACCAGGAAAATTGGCTGGCTGAGATCATACTCACTTCTTATACCCCAACTTGCGATCTAAACGAGGCATTTCATGATTTGGTTGGCTTCTTTCTGCTTCATTTTTCGAATTAATTATTGTTTTTGTGTCTACCAGTAAATCAGTAATATGAGATGTATTCACCCAATTTCAGTTAAGGTAATGAAGGACTGGTAGAAGAAGAATTTTCCCACAATGATATGAGTAGAGCTGACGCTTCCATTCAATTTCACATAGCCTTGCTTTCCCAAAAG